AGCAAAACTATCCAGCAATTTGGCAATATAAATGATAAAACAAAGCTACGCGGTTCTTTGCCAGGCCAGAAATATCAGCTGTTATAACAAAAGTAGATATAGTTTTGATTAGCAAAATTCATATAATTATGGTAGCAGTGATAAGTGGACATGATACTGATCTAAATAAATTTAGATTATTCGCTTTTGAGGCAGCAAGATACTTTATTGAAAAGTATCCATGTTACAGCATGCTCTCTACCTTACATAAATACTTTAAACATGGTCCTAAAATTATATAATCTGCATTGATGCCAATTGGACAATTGGCTGAGGAAACACAGGAAGCTTGCAATAAAGACTTTAAAAAGTATAGAGAGCATTACTCAAGAAAATGTAGTTGAAAAGACACAAATGCTGATATATTTAACTTCTTTTTATTGGATTCTGATCGTGTTATATCCAGTAAACGATTTCTTCCTAAAAAAAAATACACAAGCTTCTAAAAGAAGCAATAGATTTATTGAAACCTCAAGACGTTCATTTTTAATCATGATGTTGATGATGATAGTGATGATGATGATGATGATGATGATGATGATGATGATGATGATGATGATGATGATGATAATGATCATGATCATGATAACAACGACGGCGACGATGATCATGCTTAAGATGACAATGATGATGATGAATTTTTTTGTTAACTTTTTTTTTTAAGCAAATTTAATCGAATAAAACTAATAAAGGTTTTTCGAGATTTTGAGTAATTTTTTCGACTTTTTACATTAAATTCAAATTACTACAATTTATTTTAGTAAAACAATTAGAATACGTTTAATATTATTTATTTACGCAAAATTTTGCTTTTCTTCTTTTTACTATTATTATTTATTGGTTTTTAAAAAACTTTATTCGAAATTTAAAAATAAAATTTGAAATAAAGAAACTGTTAAACAAAAGCATGTAATCTGAATCATTTCCAATGAGGGCCGTTATACACACTCCCAAGCATCATTTGTTAATTCAAACGTTTAATGAGTTTAAGAACAAATTGAAGCAAAAACTACTGATTAACGACGTAGCGCTCAGCTTTTTCTGAAGTTTTAATGGTTACTACTGTTAAACTTACCCATTAATTAGAGGTTTGTCATTATCCGCTTGACGATATTAGAAAAGGATGTCGCGCCACTTGCTATTGCTTCAATTTTTTATTCATTTTTCATAAAAAAATTATGATTTATCCGTTTGTTTACCGACGGGACTTATTAGTCCCGCTGTAAGTTAGTGGCTATATTTTTCAGTAAGAATGTAAGTCATCAATATTTATTTGCAGAAATTAAAAGATATACCTTCTAATATCTTGATATAAAAAAATATCGTTGAAGTCATTGCTCAAAAGCATATATTTTTGTTTACAATATGTCTACTAAATCTTGCAGTTGTAATAAATTTTTTTCTTGACTTGAAAGTAGTATATATTTAACCTTTAATATGTTTGTAAATTGGGAATTTTGTTTGGTTGATGTTTATTATAGTAAATAAATACTTATCTTGTTTTGATGAATTTTTATTTCATTTTTATGTTATATTTTTGTAAATTTTGTTGTGGGACTTATATGTCCCGTCAGGTGTTACTGTCTCAATACTGAAAAAAAAATTAAACTTTATTTTTTAGTTCTTTATTTTTTTATGATTATATTGTGTTTCTTTCATACTTTTTTATCAGTTCAATAAAAAATGTTAAAGAAAAAGTTATTTACACCCCAAGAAGCTGCTCGCTACATTATAGAGAAAATCCCTAGTGATTTTAGTGAGGGCATAGGGTCACGTGATTCTGAAGATAAATTTATATCAGATGCTCTAAAATTACTGAAACCTGTCGAAAATGAATCAGAAATCTCCAACGATTCAGAAAGTAGCATAGAAGTCATCAGCATAGACCAAAAGATTGTAAATGCTTTAAAGAGGTGATTTTAACCATCGGGTTTCTGCTGTAGGATTGGTATTTTACAAATGGAAAGATAACAAATCTGTGACCATATTGTCTAATTTTCATGGAACAGAAAACGCAACTGTTTTAAGAACACAGAAAGATGGAACAAGATAAAAGATTGCAATACCTTTATGGGTGGCGTTGACATGGTAGATCAGTTGATTTCTTCATATGGGTTATCCCAGAAATCCAAAAAATTATAGCATCGGATTTTTTTTGGTTTAATTAAAAGAGCATTATGTAACTCATTTATTGCATTCAATAAAATTACCGGAGCCAAAATGAAAAGTCTTGTTTCGAAGAATTGTAGCGCAACCTTTGATCACTTATGGGCGTCCTTCAAAAGTAGGACGGACATTGATATCCTCAACCTAGCAAGACCGATCAATAAAAAGAAAGTCATTGACTAATTCGGTATCCTCAGCAATTAGAAAAGAAAATTTAGGCGTTCATTGGCCAAAACTTGGCAGTATACGTGGTCATTGCAATGTATGTGCACAAAAAAAACGAGAAGCTCGTCCGCATATAAAATGTAGTGCTTGTGAAGTATACTTATACTTGATTGATAAGAGAAATTGTTTTGCTAATTATCATGAATTGAGATTCATCGCAAAAAAAAAATCACCTAAAATATGAACATTTTGTATCATGTATCAACTAAGAAAATATTTTGTTTCTGATTGTGTTGTTATAATCCAATTTATTCATAACTTGTTATCGAACAATTCAATTGTATTTTAATTTGAACTTTTCAAAATGTTGAAGCCGGAAATACACGACGGGACTTAATATTCCCAAATTTATTTCCATGGAAACAGCAAAGCTTTTTAAAAATGTTTTAATGTTTTTTCATTCTACAAAACAGATGTTGAACAAAAATGTCAATAATGTTAACAATTTTAAAAGTTACCATACCTTGGTAAATAAAGGTTTATAGGAATTATTCAGATATTTCAAGGTTTATGCTGGTGTAAAAAGAAAGCTTCAGGATTATGCGTATTTGCTTGCATGCTTTTTAGTAATATACTTTTTGTGTATATGTTTTTTAGTAATATTACTTTTGTGCTTTTCAGTAATATTACTTTTTTTCTTTTTTTGTAAATTTTTCTTAACCAATACAAAAACAAAAAGTTAAAGTAGGACATTTGAACCTATGACTTTTATTTTATAAAGTCTTTAGAAAAATGCTTTATATTATATAGTGTTATGTTTTTAAACTTTTGTTGTTTTATATTTAAGTTATAGACTAAAGGGCTTGGTTATAAGACAAATTATTTCTTCTTCTTTCCCCTGCTATTTGTATTTATTGAATAGATTTATATTTCAAAAAAAAAAAGTTATTAAGTCAAACTCGAAATAATAAAGTCTAACAATTACCCTTAAATTAATTATTTAACTTACAAATCCGAAACAAAAAAAATTACTTTTGGCCAGTTTTGAAGCTATTCTGTCCCACTGTGCACGGTGATATTTTGCATCCATATTTGACAAAAATATTAACATAAAACTTCACAAAAAAGTGGTATTAGGATATTAGATAAAAGAATAAATTAAATTAAGGATTAATTAAAGCTTTTATTGATTGCGAGAATGTAAAAATTAAAATTCCGTGAGTTTTGCGACATTTTTATCTACATTTCAAAGTGCTGTTAAAGATATAAAAAATATTTTAAATAAAACTATTGCTGTTTTTTGAGCATCTTTTAATATCTTATATAAGAAAAATTTTATTAAAAAAAAACTTGTATTTTTATTTATATAAATAATAACACAATTAGTGACTGGTAAAATTTGATTTTTTTGTTTTATAATCTCTGTCTTTTAAAGTTTAATTTTTTATTTCATGGTCTCTGTCTTTTAAAATTGAATTTTATAATTCATGATCTCTTCCGTTAAGTTAAATTTTATGTTTCATGATTTCTGTCTTTTAAGGTTAAATTTTTTTATTTCTTGAGCTATGTTTTTTGAAGTTAATTTTTTTACTTCACGATCTCGGTCTTTTAAATGTTAAACTTTTTATTGCATGATTTCTGACTTTTAAACTTAAGTTTTTTTATATCTTGATCTCTGCTTTTTAAAGTTAAATTTTTTATTTCATGATCGATGTCTTTTAAAGTTAAATTAGTTTAGAGTTAAAGAATTTTACAGTGTTTCAATTTTACTCTCTACACTATTTAAACATATAAAACAGCTACACAAAATTGCAGAATTAATTTTGTTTAACTCTTGTGTAAATTTGAAAAATTTAGGTATGTTCATATATCAAATGAAAACGTTTTGCAAAATATTGCGTTAGGATCTGGGAACAATATTATTCTATAATGTTTGTTGTACCTACTCTTAATGTGAAGACAATGAGTTAATCAAATATTTCTTTTTACTATCTTTTTCTAAGTTTAACTTCAACAACAGGTTTTAAACTATTTTATTAGTTGTTATTTATTAATCCAGGTGTTCAAAAGTTAAAAAACTAAATAGTTATAAAAGCAGCTTTATTGATAAATTTAGGTCTATTATAAGAGAGAGAAAACTGATTTTTATTATTGCCCTCACATTTGGGGTATGTTCGGCAAATATTTTCACTATTTCTGTTTCCTCCTATTTGCAATTTTTTGCGAAACATTCTCATTTGTCATAAGTATGATAACATTTTAAAGTTTGATTTTGCACAATGCCTGAAAGTATCATGTCATGAAAAAACCTCGTTTTATTTTGGACAAACCTGCTAGTAATTTTGATCAACAACTAAGTGACATAGTTGTGATGAAACTTACTTTTTATAGCAATAATAAAAACCAATATCACTTGTGCTGTAACTAATAGGTTTTGTAAACTAGCAAACTCATTTTTCAAATTTATTTATTTATTTTTTTTTAAAAAAGAATATTTTTTTGTCTTTTTTTAAAAACAATTTTTAAAAAAACTCATGTCGGCAAAAACTTAATTTACATTTTTTTTTTTTAAATATATACAAGAAGCAGAGTGTTAAAAAAAAAAGTAAATCAAATCTTTTGCAAAAACATATTTTAATATTTATGTTTGCTTTGTTTCAAAAAATTGTTCTGCCAACTTTCTCCTGTCTGTCTGTAAGCGAGCACTATAGAATGCTGCCGATTCTGGAGATTTCATAAGAAGAGTTTTTTCAGCTTTTTCAAAACATGCTCCTCGGTCATCATTGACAGAGAAACAGGATGTTTGTTTTTTATCTTTGGAATTTTGCTCTGCAATTCCAAAACTTTCTTTATACCAAAACTCAAATTCGTTTAATAGTTTTTGACGGCATCTTTTTATTACGTTCTCCAAATTAATTTTATCAACTCGAAGATTTTGAAGGTGCTTGTAATTTGAGCGGTATTCTTTTTTCAAAGAATGAAGTTTGTTAAGCGTGTCAAATTGCACTTCACCTAAAACAACAATGCCGTTTTGAAAGATTTCTTCGTTGGCATCTTTTAAAACTTTAAGATTACTGTTTAGCTGCTCTATTTCTTGTAAACTTTTATTCATTACTGTAGAAATATCCCTTTCTTTGCAAACTATTTTCGATAAGCAATCTAGAAAATAATATATATATATATATATATATATATATATATATATATATATATATATATATATATATATATATATATATATATATATATATATATATATATATATATATATATTCTTAACCACATTTAAAACTTGTTTTTTTTTTACCTTTATTTTCAATAAGTGCTTTGTAAAGCGCATCACCAGCTTTATGTTTGAATGTCTCATAAGCTTCGTTTTTAGAAGGAGGAATATCTTGTATGAAGTTATGGATACTAGGTTCCATCTTTACTGAAATAGACGATAATAAAGGATTTGGGGTTAAGTGATGTTCTCCTTCAGCATTTTCTTTTGTCTTTTTATTTTTCTATTTAAAAGGTGAAATATTTTTACATCATTTGCATTTGTTGTGTTAACATTACATTACAAATAAATAAACTGACTACAAATTATTATAATTAGTATAATAAAAAAGGTGTTTTTAAATTTTTAACAAATTTAAACTAAATGTTTAACTACATATCTAAGTTTTTGTTATACTTATTATGATATATATTATAGTATAATTATTATATATTGTTTGTTATGATCTATTAAACAAAAGTCAATTTTTCTAAAAAACATTCCCACGGTCAACATCAAATTAATTTTAAAATGAAGTCAGACTAAATTTTTTTATTGCGTTTAAAGTTTAAACTAAGGATACCTTCTTGAGATTTACAATAGCTGGCGACATTGCAGGTTTTACAAAAGTACCTGGACGACCTATGCTAAAACTGTTTGCCTCTTTTTCTCCAACCAAACTTCCTTTTTCTGGTGTATTTATTGGTTCGATATCTAAATAGTTATTTACTTAAATATGGTTGAAGTGAAGACTCAATTGTTGTAAAATTGATGTAAAGATGATTGTCATTTTGCGAAGTTTATCTTTAATGTTAAAATTAAAATTAATGAAAAGTTCGTTTCTTACTCTTTTCACAATTCTCTTTCTTTTCCTTAGGAGCATACTTTTCTTGTAAACGCTTTTCAACGCGTGCTTCAGTTTGATTTACAATATCTCTAAATTGAACTAATATTTCATTGATTTGTTTTAAATTTACAAAATTGATTTTTTCTACGTCAAAACTGATGTATTTTAAAACTTGCTGATGGATGTCATTGATTTCACTATCAGTAAACGACAAATAATTAATGTCACTTTTATCAGCTAGTGTGTCATACGCAGCTAATTCTTTTTTTAACAAAGAAATTTCATTCTTATACTGGTTACAAAGATAAGTGGGGTCAACAGAAAAGTTAATTACAGGTTGTGTTGGAATTTTCATAACGCGACAAGCAAACCGTAATGTTGATAGCTAAAAGAAAATTAAGCATAACCTTTAATCTATTAAAACAAAAGTAGATGTTTTTTAAATAAATTTTAAAGGTTTTGTTATAAGGTTGCTCACCGATTCTTCAATATTCTCACGCTCTCCCTGAATGTTTCCAATCATTACAATTTCGAATTTTCCTCCCAAAGAATCTTGTAATAAGTGTGTTAACTTAGTTTGACGAAATGGAATGTGTAGTCTTGACCTCTCGGACAACGCTCGCACTGTCTGCTCAAAGAATGAAAGCGATTTATTAACTTTTACTGTTTGGCTTTGTGTTTCAAAAGGATATTTTTTAATGCGTTCAGATCCTGCCAAATCAACAAAATTAAATTTCGATATTAGAAACTTAGAATTCGTTTGAATTTGCCTCGTTTTGATTAAAATTGTAAAAATATAATGCGATTTATTTTCATTTTTCTCAAACTGGCGAGTTCTTCGATTCAGTTCTCCCTAAATAATGATAAAAAGTTATACAAATTTAAAATGTATTATCAATTAGATAATAATTTATTCTGTTTAGCTCAGTTAAACTGAGCTAAACAGAATAAATTATTACAATTAAACAGATTGTTGAACTTTGTAAAGTTATTAATTGAAAAGAATTATACAAAAAATCATCAAGTAACATTAATAACTATCGCGCCATTTTAAACAGCCAATTAAGTTCTAGCCAAAGTTTGGAATTCACATTTATAAAGTCAGCCTTCCGAATATAATTAAATAAAAAAAGATTTACTTCTCTAATACTTTCAATAATAATATTTTGCGTAATTGTGTTTTAATGAAAATAAAACGATTCAGTTAGAGCTAAGATCTGCCTTCATAGTTTCAGATAATTTAAATTAATTTAAATTATCTGGAATAAATAAAATAATTTATAGTTTCAGATAATTATTTAAATAAAGTAGTTAACCAAAGTAATGATTAAAAATAGAACTTGTTTAGTATTATATAAAAGTATCGAAGCGTGTGTTTATATTTAGTTGTACATAAAAGTATGGAAGTGTGTGTTTATATGTAGAAGTACATAAAAGTATATAAGTGTGTGTTTATATGTAGTAGTACATAAAAGTATGGAAGTGTGTGTTTATATGTAGTAGTATATAAAAGTTTTTTTTGAGTCAATGTTACACCAGGTGCAAAAATACACGCTTGCATTAGACTAAAGTCCCATAAAATGTTGACCGATTTTATATCACAAGAAACAACAAAGTTCAAAGCATTAACTTAAAATCAAAGATCAAATTTCCTTAATGATGTAAAAGCTCTCTGGAAGTTTCTCTAATACAGCAACTATGATTAGTCTCTTTAAAACTGGCTTCTTTGGCAATTCTTTGTGTTAGCAGCTTCTTGCTTGGAGGTGCATTAAGCTAATTAACAGCCCTACGGGCATTTATTTTTAAAAATTATGTTCTAAACCTCATTTTAAATGTTTTTTAAACGTCTTTTAAACGTTCTTTACGTGAGAATGTTTCAAAGATGTTTAAAAGACATTTAGAACGTAACTTTTAAAACCAAATGCCCGCTGGGAGTGGTCGTATCAATAATTTTAAGACAAGTTTATAAAATCATCACTTTCTTTAACTTCATGTTTGACTAGGTGGTCTAAAAACATTTTGTTTTAAAAGAGCATTAATTCAGTCACATTTGTCAAACTAATTGTATAAAAATAAGTAATAATATAAAAATAAGTTCAAAAACTCATCTGTCACCCTTCAAAGGGAGACTTCAATTTCCCAACAATTCTACAAAAACATTGAAGAGAGAAAACGGTTAAAATTCAAAAGATATTGCGGATATCATAAATAAAATTTTGAACCATCATCTTCTTTCACAAGCTACATTTGTGAAAGAAGATAATGTTTTTTTGCCTTCTTATGATTTAAGAACTACTGTACATTCATTATTATAAATAAAGATTTTACATATGTAGATGTCCTTCTAAAAATAAAAAACTTGGAAGAAATCTGAACATAAGTTATAAAGTAGTATTGATAATTTACATCCAGCTATTTAAATGAATTTTTAATCAGCCTCCGCCATTCAACTTATGAATTATGCTCAACAAATCTACTTAAAACACTTGATTTTATTTTAACCACCTTAGAAAATGGTAAAGTCGTTGATGGTTTTTTTTTTTTTTTCCCAGGGCGTTTGACACAGTGCCACACAAAAGATTGGTGCTTAAACTTACAGTTTATAGAATGGTCTGATATTTCAATGAATTGAAGCGTTTTTAAAAGAAAGAAAGCAAAAGCTGCGTAAATTATATTAGATCTTTATTAAATAGAAAAATCTTTAAAAGTCTTGTGGTTCATACTCCAATTGTTAATGCTTTGTCACAAAAAAAGTTAATTTTTACAACAAAATTGCTTACGTAGTAAACAAAACTTCTTTTGTTTCGTATTAAATTGTTTTAGTTCAGCATTGATAACAAAGATCAAGGAAAAAATTGCCCGCTAAAAAATCCCACGCAAAATTTTTTTTTTAAACCCATTTTCGAGATTGAAACCAAAATCTTCAGTCAATGTGGTGACACTCCTTGCATGTTCTACCTATTTGTCATTCAGTGTATGTAGATTCCTTATTTGTTCGACTTGTTTACCGATAGATGTATGTACACTCCTTGCACACAAAAAAAAGTCATAATATTGAATTTTATAAAAAGGTTTATAAAATTTATTATTATGGATTTTATATAAATTTAGTATTACAGGTTTGTGATTGTTATTATTACAGATACATGATTGTCATTATGGATTTCTTCTTACATATTTGTTATTATGGCCATTCTATAAATTTATATTTTCAGTTTTTAAAGTATGATTTTTATTTTATAGCATGATTTTTTTAGTATGATTTTTCAAATTGTAAAGGTTCTGATTATAAGATAGTTATGATCTTCTTTCAGAAGTCTTATTTAAATTGAAAAATTTGTTTTCCATTTAATTTGAAAAGTTTTTTTTTCGCAAATGTTTTTGCTATATTTTACTTTTATGTATATGTATATATATATATATATATATATATATATATATATATATATATATATATATATATATATATATATATATATATATATATATATATATATATATATATATATATATATATATATAAACTGCAATAAAATGCCAAGATGTTTTTTTACCATTATCAACGAAAAAACATTAAAATTAAAAAAAAGAGCATTCTGAGGAAAAATAAACTCGCAACCCCGATTGCCGCGCCTCAAAAATTGCACATTAAATTTATCTCTTGACTACACTGCTATGTCAATGAGTAAAGAACTTAAACATTTTTTTTTTTTTAAGTTGATTAAGTTGCCCCAAGAAGTCCTTACGGTCTTATCACAGAGCACCGCGGAAGAGCATTTAATAGGAAGTTCACGCCTCCTTCCCAACCGATGTCGCAAAACTTGCTCAGAGGTGGGGTTTGAACCACGGATCTTACGTTTCTGAGGCAAGTGCGCTACCACTGCACCAAGGCTGCTCAAAGAAAATATTATTTGTACGAGCGTACAAATAATAACTTCCCAGACATAAAGGATTAACATTTACAAAAAAATATGCTGCCTTAGAAGGACTTGAACCCCAACACTATCTCCTGCGCCTCAAAGAAGAGCGTTATTACATATGTAGCACTACACAAATATTTAGATGACGTAACAAAAAAAAATCAAATTTGTGGACAAGTTACTTGATGAAAAGTTCTGGTAAAAAATGAAAGTGAAAGAAAATATTATAAAAAAGAATTTAAAAAAGCAATAAACCTGAAAAAAAAAAAACTGCTGAAGAAAACTAAAAAAGAGTTTTCTTTATTTGCTTACTATTTAAAATATATTTTTATACATAAATATCAAAAAATTCGAATATAAAAATGTATAAAATACCTCAAAAAGAATACTTAATGCTATTTCTTCAGTCGCTGCGTCATGAAGCGAAAGCCCTTTTACATAGGTCTCTCCATGTTCATTTACAGTGAGTATTAGCTCATCAACTTGGGATTCACTTTTTATAGGAACAAGTAAATCGTAAACTGTTTCTTTATAAATTTTTAGGTAAGAAATTTTAACACTAATTTCTTGTTCATGACGTTCGTTGATTTCTTTGTACAATTGAGAGATAGTTCTCGGTACCAATCCTCTTTGCTGAAAATTATGACACGATCCTAAAATATAAATTGTATTTTAAAAAAGTTATATCTAAAAAACAAATACAAATATTAGTAAAAAAAATTTAGTATAAATTAAAATGTATACTAATCCGTTTCTCTATACTTACCTAATACTTATAATCAGCTTCCGTTAATCAGTTATTCAGACCAGTTAATCAGTTATTCACACCAGTTAACTAGTTATTCAGACCAGTTAATCAGTTATTCACACCAGTTAATCAGTTATTCACACCAGTTAATCAGTTATTCACAACAGTTACAACTGCTTCAAATGATTAGCTATCTAATTATTGTATTAACTTACCAGTTATTGTGTATGTCTTTCCTGATCCAGTTTGTCCGTAAGCAAATAATGTACAACTGTAACCATCGAGATATTTTGAAACTAGAGGAGCCGCGCATTTTTCATATACTATGTTTTGAGAAGCGTTATGAAGTATTCCACAAGTCCTAACAAAGTATTTTGTTATTCTATCAATTCATTTATATTTTATTGTTATATTATTTTATTCTAAATAAGTTTTACAATATTTTATAAACAAACTATAATCAGCAGCGTAGGTAAGATTTTTAATGTTATAGATTACTTTTTTTAGGCATTGTGTAAATTGCAGGGTTAAGTATGTTCATATTTATGTCAAATGAGAATGTTTTGCAAAAAAAATTGCACTGATTATATGATATTATATAAAACTCAAAAACTGTTTCCAGGCTCCACTAAAGACTTCTCAAAAAAAAGTAGAAAATAACTGTATTTTTTTTGTTTATATATCAGCTAAAAAAATGTTCCATCGAGTTCCACAAATATATATATATTTTCCAGTTAATTAAGATTTCTACTTTAGTAATGTAAAAGGATTACTGCGGTCTCCTGCAGTATTGGAAGTTATTAAAGAAAAACAAATGTTGATGATTTTATAAAAACCTTGTTTTCCACCATTTTGCTAAGAACTTTATTATATCAAAACAAATGAAAATGTTATTACACAAAAATTACATTTAGTGAAAAAAACGGTTTTGCCCCCATTGTGAGGCACAACCGCACCCTCAAAAAAATCGATGGGTCTACACCTTTCATGGTACATTTTTTTTACAATTTTCACAGCTCAGATGATTTGATGATTTTGTTGCATGTTTGCATATTGTGCAAGCATTCTTTGTGTTTACATTTTGAGTTCTGCCCCAAAAGAGAGTTCTACCCCAGAAGAGAGTTTTTAGAAAGAATTCAGTTTCATAGATTAATTATTAGATTATAGTATTATCAAAAATGACTTTCACTTCATGAAATAATGCTGATAACACATATTTTTAACACTAAAATTAAATATTGCTTAATTCTCAAAAAGAAGGTCAGGAAAAATATGATGTAAATATAATATTTTTATCAAAATAAAAATTATTATTCACAACTTCTCAGAAACTTAACAGTCACTCTTTTTGACATATGCAAAATGAAGGAAACTGTTTTACTAACGCGTGGTATGTTTTTTGTCATATTAGATAACATTTTTTTAAGAGAAATGGTAAAAAACGGTTGTGCTTCCATATGCGGTTATGCCCCCACTTCCCCTACATTGAATTAAAGTCAAAATATATACATTCGATCCGCATTGGGTTTAGGACGTAAAAACAATCAAGTTTTTGCGATGCTTTTACATACATTGGACCAATGCAAATTTGCCAAATGTTTTTAGTTCCGTCGGTAATTATTTTATCAATAGCTAAATGACATTGGATCAACGTTGGTTTTGCATTGCAAAAAAGAGCCGACTTTTGCGATGGTTCTACATACGTTGGCCCAATGTAAGTGTGCTAGCTGGGACTCACTGCAACTTTTTACAAAACATTCACATTTGAAATAAGTATGAACATACTTAAGTTTAGAGTTTACACAATGCCTGAATGTGTTTTATCTGCAACATTAAAAAGTCCTACAAATGTCTACACTATAAATTGTATAAATGTTTTAATAAGTTTGAGAACTTAGATAACTCGCAAAAAACCTCAAAGTATTGTCATCGAGAATTAGTGTGAAGATTATTGCATATACTAATTAATCATAATTAGTCATAAATTATGTAATAGCATTTAACCAGTAAGTTTACACCTGCTTCCATACCAATGCTACTCATCTGACCAGAACTGGTTTCGAACTCTTGGTTCTGATCCAGAGCTCTAACCACTGCGTCACGGTTGTGTTGTGTTATCTAAGCCGGGGGAGAATCCAGACTACAAAGTAAGAGGGGCTAATTTTAGATTTTTTCAGCAACCACAAAAACAATTTAAATTTTATTTCATTTTTGTTTCTTTTTTTTTAAAATTTATTTCAATTCATCTCCTCAAGCCCATTAAGGCAACTACAGTCGAGGAGACTACATTAGTTGTGGTTACAACCCTTTCTCAACTCCAAACCACGAACCTTGACAAACAATGCCGTTGTGCAGAAAAACAAGTTCAAAACGGTATTATCAGGGACATGGTGGGGATCAAACTCAGAACGTAGTGTGATTGCTGGGAAAAATATCTACTATCACAAAACTGCTAATTTTTTAAAATATACTATTTAGACATAATATTTAAATAAAATGTTTATATTATTTGCATTTACAAAGTTTAAATAATTTATTAAATTTCTTGATATGCCAAAAAAGAAATATATCGAATAAAAGGTATTAAAAGAAAAATATCGAAAGAAAGATATCGAAAGAAAGATATCGAAAGAAAGATATCGAAAGAAAGATATCAAAAAAAAGATATCGAAGAAAAGATATCAAATGAAAGATATCGAATGAAAGATATTGAAAAAAAGATATCAAAAAAGAGATTTTGAAAGGTATTGAAAGAATGATATCGAAAGAAAGATATTGAAAGAATTCATAAAAGGTAGTTGGTATTAAGATATAAAGACAGGGAAATTTTATAACAATTCTATCCTAATTCTATATCATGGAGATTAATCAAAAATAGTTTTAACCAAAGAGATGAGATCTTCTTTTTTCTTTGTGTTTTAAAGCAGCCAATGCGCAGTGGGCCAGAAACATGAAAAAGTGATCAAAATTAATAACTACATATAAAATCAATTTAACAATATTAACATTATAAAATCAATTTAACAATAATTCTATTTACTAAAACATAATATTACAACCGGTTACTCACTTTCAAAAAAGGTTAAAAATTTTTGAATTGAAGGTTGGTTTTGATCATTTTTTTAATTTTTGCTCACTACTGTGCAATGGTGTTATTTGTAGAAAAAATAAAAAAGATACAACCTTACGACGATGGAACAGAGGCTCAAACATAAAAGGTAAAGCAGATTCAATAACAATAACAATGCGTTTTTGGACCTTTCCAAAAGAAAAGACTTTGTTAGGGAGTTTATTTTAAACTTTTTCATTTTTCACGGACGTTTTTACCAGTAATTTGAAATAAAAACGTTAAATATTAAAAATAAGAAACTTAGGATGCTTTATAAATCCTCCGCAAAACATTTGGAGTTTGTGTAACGGATTGTGCAAGCGTTGTGAACTTTTTTACGTATTAAATGTTATTGTTGTTCAAATCTACGTTAAACCTACTTGAGAAACTGCGTTTTGAGGTTTAAGCGAAAACAAATAAAAATGTGTTTGTAAAAATCAGGAAAACTGGTGAAGCGAAAAAGTAAGGCATAAACTGCTTCTTTCATTGAATACAAGCTTCCAACTTTGGATCTAATTGCGAATCCATAGAACATTTTTCAAGACCATTTTGCATTGAAATGATCCAGAATTCGGTGAGTTTACTTCTGTCTGATATTGGTTTTTTAGTTCTTTTTAAGACTTTGAAAAGATTTCGAAAACGTTTTTCTAACCGTTTTTAAACATGTCCAACACATTCCAGTTTACAGGCATAATTCTATGCTCTATGTAAGAATACTTTCATATCATTTAAAGAAAATGTATGTAAGAATCTGCTACTTTCATATCATTAAAAGAAAATGTCTCAAAAATGCTCTTTATATACCAACTCAATTTTTTGTAAATATCTGTTAAACATTACCACATCTCTAAGGATTTCATACAACCAGATGAACTCTTGTGATTCATTTCCATTGGTGATCATTCAACCAACACTGATACTTTGAAGATCTTCTTTTACATCTCCACATTTTACATCCATTACAATGTTTGGTAAAGATCTTTACAACAATACATTTATAACTACAAACATCAGTTACAACACCTTTCAAAAAATTATAACCTTATTTTTTCCATGACCTATCAATAGATAATCTAACTTCATTTATTTCAAAAGAGTCGTTTATTGATTTGATTTCAGGAGCAGCTCTCAGCATATTTTCCTCAACACTAGTTTTGTATACTAATATTACAGTTTTATTTAGCCTATTAAAGCTATTAGGCAACAAACAATAAATGTTCATACAAGAAGAAAATGTTTTCATAGATCAGCAACCCAATGACAGTTCACAGGTTTCTATGGTGACAGTTCACAGGTTTCTATGGTGATTCTTGAGATAAAAAATATTTTTTAACAGTATCAAATTTTTTCTTGCTAAAAGAAATCTTTGACTACGGTGAATTTCTAAATTTTTTAGAAAAATTACACTTTTCATATGCAACCACCCATGAGTTAAGTCTAGACAATTTAGCGTCGTTCGTCATAAACAGAAAACCTTCTACTTTTCTCATTTCAATTTTAAAAGTTGCTCTTTAATCATAAAATATAGATAAGCGAGCAAAAATGAAGACAGCAAAATTGCAACTGAATGGGAGAGTTTTAAAAAAGTAATCTCATCCTTAGAGTTCCGAAATATGACTTTCTAAAATATTGTTAACTTATTTTTTAAATGAAAGTCATTTTTTAAATGACTTTCTTTTAAAACATAAGTTAACAGTATGTTGTAGAATTATGAGAAATTTGGATTATCTTATAAAACCAAAGGTAAAACTTTTGCAAAATGCTTATGCAAATAAAGGTGAAGATAAAAATCAAAAGTGGAATCCATAATCTCTTAGCACACAAACGTGTGTTGACGGATTTGATTTAAATATAAGTTTAAAGAAAAAAAAATTGTCAAATAATATATCAATCTCTAAAATAATGGATCATCAGAGTCTTTTTTAGTTAGATAGTTACATTTACCAAATCATAAAACCCTGTCATTTTATTTATGGATTTGCTTGGATTAATATACGTAAAATTTATTATCATTTCATTAATTTAGAGATCAGACATACATACTTAAAATTCCATTCTCTAACTTGATTGTCAATGTAACCATTCTCCTTCTCTTTCCGAATATTAACATTCAACGATTTTTCATCTGGTAACAAATTAAAGGTTTCGCTTGAAAATCTATCTGAAGGTTTAATGCGTATATAAACTTTTGCGTATTTATCCATTCTTGAACTTAATCAACATTTAATCAATAATTGCGTATATTAATGATTTTTAATGCTTTTAAAATGTGACGTCAAATTACTTATATATATATATATATATATATATATATATATATATATATATATATATATATATATATATATATATATATATATATATATATATATATATATATATATATATATATATATATATAGATGAATTCGTTACAGATTGAAATTATGCGACTTCAACATAATAATGCATAAAAACTAAATAATTTATTAAGTAGGTCGAAATTTTTTAAACTGAATTTTCTAGAATATTATTAAATAAAGGTTTCATATATTTTCTTTTGATTATTCTTTAAATATTGCGAGTAAACATCAAAGTTGAAAAAATATTTTTCCTTTTAAATGCTTATCGTCAAAAAATAATCAAAATATTAACAAAGTAAATTTTTTTTCGATAGATCGATGTCAGTATTTTTAAAATTTGGCAATCAAGCTCAAAATGTACTTCAAAGCTTCAAATTTTATCTATAAGAGATAGGCTTATCTATAAGAGATAGGCTTATCTATAGGAGATAGGCTTTTCAGAATATATTAGTTTACAGTTAGCTTATAAAACTTTTTGAAGTTTTAATTATAAACGCGACTCTAATGTAAAACATGTAAACAAGCTTGTTATAATGTATAGTCTTAAATCTAAATATAGTAAATAATAAGTATACAAAATTTGATTTATAATTGTGATGAATTCGGCCTTTGTAAAAGTTAACTATTGGTGAACGTGCTACACTGACAACATACCTGCCCACTGTTGATGCAGCAGGGGACAGCTAACCACCATTTTTCATATTTAAAGGAACAAAGACTCCAGATGCATCTAAATCTCCTTTGGGTAAAAAGTACATAGCAGTAAAAGCGGATATATTGATCAAGAGATGTATATTGACTTTTTACATCATTTTAATGAGTTCCTAACAAAAGTGAATCGAAAAAAAATATTCTTATTTTTGGATGATTAATTTTTGAAGCAATTGAATTAGCAATAGAGATGGATATTGAAATAATATGCGTTCCACATTATAGTATACATCACCTTCAACCGCTTGACACATATGTTAATAAAGTAGATAAACATATGTGGTCTTTTGTCTAATTGCTTAGCTAAAAATGATAATATTTCTATGCCTCGTTGAAACTTTCACATTATTTTTCAACAAAATATTGCAACTTTCACATTATTTTTAACAAAATATTGCCCTTTTACTTACAAAAAGAGAATTGATTGTCAATGCGTTTTACCATTGCGGTTTGCATTTCCTAAGAAATACAGTGAAAGACTTCGAATTCAAAAAAAAAAGATAATTAATAAAACAAAAGTTCATATGGGAGACCCAAATTTATTTGTTTTAAGGACTATTGTACCTTCTCCGGAAAAAAATCAACCCTAAAGCGTGTACACAAAATAAATGTGAAAGAATAAGTACGTCATTTTTTTTCAGTGGTTAAAATAAAATCTTTTTAACTGTTTTGTTATTTGTTTACAACATGTTGTGGTTGGTTGTTTACAACGTGTTGTGGTTTCAAAAAAATCTATTAGTTTTTTGATTTAACTTAAAATTAGTTTTAAAAATGAAAAAAGAAAAAGACATCTTAGAAAAAATTATGCACAAATATTTGGAAAATCCCAATAGTAGCTACAATTCGATAGCAAAAGCGTTGCAAATACATCCATACACCTTTAGTCGTGTAATCCAACGTTTTTCTCAAACAAAATCGATCAAACGTAAATCTTGTGGTGGAAGAAAGAAGGGTTTTAAAGATAAAAAACTAGTTAGAAAACTGGTTAACAGTTTTAAAACTAACCCAAGCCTTTCTCTAAGGGAGCGCGCAAACATTTATGGACTTTTTCATAGTTTTGATGTAAAAATTCGAAATAAACATAGTTTTCATTCTTTCAAAGCACAAAAAGTGCCCAACCGATCTGAAACTCAACAAAAAAGTGCAAAAACCCGCTGCAGAAAGTTGTATGACAATTTTATCTCTAAAAATTTCTGTATTATTGAAGACGATGAAACTTATATCAAGTACGATCATCAGCAAATTCCTAGTGCCGTATATTATATTGCCAAATATAGAGGAAAAGCAGATAAGAAATTTAAATACATAAAACACGACAAAAGCATATATATCCATATTTATATATATAACCAAAAGAAGCTAGAAGAGTTAACAAACCTGATAAAATACTGATCACTTGGTCAGAACAAAAAAGCTGGAAAACGAGACACTTATGTTATTAATGTGCTTAAGTAATTAGTTAAACCTGCGCGTTTAATTCACATTTCTTAAAAAAAAAATCATTTCCTATAGAAAAAAAAGATTTTAATTCAAACCATTATTTTCTTCAAAATTGTTTAACGGGCTGTAGGTTCTAATAAGCTGTGAATGGTCTGAAAAAAATTTATAAAAGTAGTATTATAAAAACAATAAATTCACTCGTACCAATCCTTTTTTTAAAAAACTTGAATGTATCAAGTATCTTTAAAATAAACATCACACGATGTAAATTTTATAGATATTTGACAATATACAGATTTATCAAACGACGAACAAGAAACTTAACATTGCCCATTGAAAAAAAATAAAAAAAAGTCCTATTATATTGCAATATTGACTAGCATGACGTAGAGTGCAGGCGGTGAGATCTGTTGCTAGGACACGTCCCTGACGAGTGACGTTAGTTTAGGTCTCGGGCTCTCCGAAACGTCATTGGTGATCGCAGTGCATTTCTGAAGAGGGGGATCACCATTTATCCACTACTTAATTCTAATTGGTTATTATGGCACCAATATTTTTTTACCTCTTTAACCCATGTATTTTTGCGCTTTGTGAGCTTTTTATTATGTATTTGTTACATTTACGACATTTATATGTTTTTATGTTACACAGGTGATTATCAGTTCTCAATTTTTTATCTAGAGTTTAGAACATATATAGTACCACATTTATTAGACATTTGTATGGTGCGATTATTTTAGTTATGAATACCATTATAAACCAGCGGATTTTTATTGACTTGTTTACTCATAGATCATTGTTTCGTCATTTGCTAAAAGATGACTAAAGTGTGAGTTTTTATTCCTCTTTTCCTGAGTTGCTAACTTTTACTCTTCCTACTAAATAGTCTTTGCATTAATTTATGTTTTTTTACCTAAATGACATCATCTTCAATCTGTTTTTATTTTCACATCTCCCAGGTCTACGTAACTGGACGGCTCCGTTGGTCACTTTTTGCGATCATTGTGTCGCATAAGAAAATTTATTCTTTGTGGCTGGTGAGCCCCGACTTTTTCCAATGTACACCACAACGACAAAACGGACATTAGGCTATCCCGCTGGATGTGGTTACGGCGCTCAATAACCTAATGACTACGCTGACACTCACGCACACGTTCAGTCGGAAGTTCCACAATGCACGTCGGATCAGCGCTTGCTGACTATGTGCTCGGATCTGAAATCTCACTAAATAGCACATCATTCCACACCAACACGGGGCAGTAGCTCTTTTGGTTAAGAGTGATGGCTTGTGACCTACGGTGACTAATGTGTGCATTCGATCAATTGAAATCCATTCTATAGGTCTCACGTCTGGCTCTGATGTGCTAGCCCATAAGCGCAAGAAGTGAGTGTGTTTAGCTTTCTATTTACCCGATTTGAAAGTGTACGGAAACAAAACGAGACGATACTAGACGATAAACGGTACGTACTAATGCACTACACTATTACACCTGTAGACATCAACAATCTTTAAAACCAGTATATCAAATATTTGTTCTTTGTTACATACGATCTACATACAGAGTGATTAGAGTGTTAGTTGGTTCTCTCCCTGCCCCCCAACCATTTAACTTCGTTATTTACCTTCACAAAAGTCTTATCACTCATTTTATATTTTCTTATGATTTTTATTTTTTATTCAATGACACCGTCTTCTAACTGTTTTTATTATCACATCTCTCAGGTCTACGAAACTGGACGGCTCCGTTGGTCACTTTTTGCAATCATTGTGTCGCATAAACAAAAAATTTATAAAAGTAGTGTTATTAGAAACAATAAATTCACTCGTACCAATCCTTTTTAAAAAAAACTTGAATGTAATAAGTATCTTTAAAATAAACATCACACGATGTAAATTTAATAGATATTTGTCAATATACAGATTTATCAAACGACGAACAAGAAACTTAACATTGCCCATTGAAAAAAAGCTCTCGAGATTTTGAATTGTACCGTGGGCCCTACTTATATAATAAAATAATACCTCAAAAATATTAAACTTGCTTTAACTTAAAATATAGAGCTTATGATGGGATAATAACTTAAAAACAAACTTAACGAACAAACTCAAAATATAGAGCTTATGATGGGATAATAACTTAAAAACAAACTTAACGAACAAACTAAAAATATAGAGCTTATGATGGGATAATAATAACACTTTTACATGTTTTGTTAAGTTTAATGATGTTAATATTAAGTACCTTACCTCAACTTAATAAGTTCCTTAATATGTTGTAACCAGCACTTAATTTTATAAAACACGAATTTTTAAAATTAGGTTGGAAGTTGTATAAGTATTATTCATGGAAAAGAAACGTATTGTCAAAATTAAGAAACAAATCTACAGGATCCTTTAGTATTAGTAAAAAAAAAAAAAAAAAAAACTTTTTTTTTAAAATAGATAGATTCCGTAATAACGTTTAAAAAACTTTATAAATATCCAAATAAATTTTTTACAGACACGGAACTAAATTTTTTTTATTTTTATTATTATATATTTTTTTAATTAGTTATTTAGGAGCTCCAATAAGTCCAAATAGTTTTATCGCAGAGCGTCGCTGAATACCATTTAATGAGGAAGTTCGCGCCTTCTTCCTTACCAATGGTGCATATATGGAACCTCTCGTTCTGAAGCCAGAACGCTATCTACTACACCACAACCTCACAAACTATAAATCGCAAATTTTT